CGGGGCGTCGCTAAAAAGGGGGCAACGGCCGCGCGGCGTGGCGGCCGGCGGTCTCTGATACGAGGCATTACCTTGGTCCTTGGCCCCAAGGTGGGACTGGCCTAGACGCGAGGGGGCGCCGAATACCAAGACGATAGTCGGCATTAGGACGCCCCGCCCCGCCCTGCCCCGCCCTGCCAGGTGCCGGTGAGCTTCGTGCCGACCCACTGCTGCAGCTGGACCGAGCATCATCATTATACCCTGGAACCACTCTTTTACTTTCAGTGGAAAAAAGTATCAGTTCTTCCATCGGATCAGCACTCAAAGTCAAGGATGGTAGTTCGGCACACAGTGCTGCGGCCGGCCCGCACCACTCCCCCCTCACCTCGGACTCTTAGAGCTTTCCAGTCGCGGCCGGCCGAAGAGGGTGTTGGTGCGCGCCACCGTCACCTCCGATGGGGCCACCGAGGCGAGGCGCGATAGCGACTAATGAAGCGACACCTTTCAGCTCCCGTTCATTGTCTGCGCTTAAAAACTCGAAAATAACTTTCATCTTCTTCTCCTCTGCGCGACTTTCGATTCTCGTCTTCGGGTCGGCCAGGCCTCATAGGCCCCCTGGCTGCCACCAGTCCCCCTCCCCCCTTTTCCCTCTCCTCCGAAGCCACCGGGACCACCATTGTTTCCTGACGCAATGACGTTATTGTTCCGCTCTCCTCAAGGACGGACGGGCCCAAACGAGGGAAATCAGCAAATCGTCTCATTATTGCGACAATTATTATTATAATATTGCAGCCGTAACGATCATCATTCGAAGCCACAACTATTTAGTACTACTCGAAGATGACAACGTCGAAAGGCGTTGCTTATAAGAGGGTGGCGTGTTTCGTTTTGCTTACATTAGCGTCGGTGAACGCCAGGCAATCAGTCCACGAGTCCAAGACGGTATTTATCGAGGGAGAAAGAGGACAAGGACGACCTGGACGGACACCTCGCTTTCTTTAGGGGGAAGCAGTCGAGCACAGCTCAAAGTGCACCGGCATAGAAGGGCAAACATTTAGTCATAGGCTCGGAGGCAAAGTGAACTAAAACAACAAACCAATAGTAGAAGCAAACCAGAAAACAATAGCAGGAAAAGTCGATGATTACAAAATCTTGCTTTTGTTGACAAGTGCTGCATGCGCGTGCACGCGGCCGCCGCCCTACTGGTAGGCAACTTATTTGGCTTCGCGGGCACGCGAGCACGCGCTCACGAATAGCACGCGCCACGGAGGAGCGGGCTGCATCGGGATCCACAGCCCAGAGGAGCAGTAAAAACCAGAGGATTGCTGTTTGGAAACAACAAAAAGCCTTCGTTGAATTTAAAAATGTTTTACAATACGTATGAGTAAAGAAAAGACTTTAAAACCAAAAACAAGTTTGAAACCTTTTCTTTCAAATGTAAGGAAATCAAAAGCACAAGGAAATTTTAATCAACAACTTCAATTTGATGCAATGGAAAAATAGTCAAAGCCATCATTGATTGCCTTGACCCTATTCCAAAGATAAGGTTTTAATGAAAGTGATTAGTCAAATTGTGTTGGAATGCAAACAGAAATTCAAGATTTCAGGATCTTGGCCTCTTTCAATTTCAATTTTTTATTCTTTTATTTTCATTGATTGTGTGAACTTTTTATTGAATGAAAACACATATCGTAAAAATACGGTTAAGATCAAGGGACCGCTTCTCTAGGTGAATTATATTACTGCTAGATTCTCCGCTCGAAGTGCGTAAGCTAGTTCCTTTAGCATTATCAAAGCAAAGGTCACCTTCTCACAATCCTGATCGCTTTAATTTGAGTCCAATTCCATCTAAAGGACTAAGATTTTCCTGACTCAATTTAAGGATCTTGACGATCCCAACTCAAATAATGGAACGATCACCCTCAATTATGATTCAAACAGACTCATCGATTTATCAGTCTCAATGCCAGGGAAACTAGAAAAGTGCTAACAAAATTATTGCTCTCTTTGTAGAGAGGTTTCCAAATATGCATAGTCGCCATAGGTCTTCATTTAACCAAAAGTCTTGCGGGCAAACTTAGGAGTATTTCCCGATATTTTCACGGGGCGTGCTTTGCTCGCGGGGCGCGGCCCCTCTCTTGCCGGCGCCCGGCCGGCTGGGCCAGCTAGGGTACTTTCTCTGAGACATTTGCGGGGTGATTGATAGGTCCTTCGTCTCCCTGGAAGCGCGGAGGCGCGGGCTGCGGTGTGATGTGACCGCTGCGCGCTGCTGCTGCGCGCTGCTGCTGCACGCATACTCACTTTCAGTTCCAAAACGCCACGCCGTGTCACGCCGCCGCGCCGCGCCCTGCTCGCACTGCGCGGTCCGGGGCCCGAGAAAATGAAGCCATTGTTTGCCGTATTTCGAGCATCACCATCGGGCTCCAGCAGCGAGCAGCATCTGCATGCTTCTGCGTTAGGGCCAGCCACGCCCATCCTCGCCCCCGGCACGCCCCTGCTTAGCACAAATTGTTTCCTATGGGAAGGAAATTGTCTATGGGGTCGACGGACCTTCTACAGTAGATCGATTTTAAAGGGTCATTTGATGTTGAGATTCGAGGTCGATGACCATTTTAAATTATACTAGGAAAAACGTCTCAAAAATCAAGAAGTGTGTCCTGGCATTCATTTTTATATATTTACAGTTAAGTCGGTCCTAACAAAATTATTTCTCAATTCTATAGTTCTTGAAAACAATGC